AGGCCCCTTCCATATCTCCCATGCAGGTGCTTTTCCCACTGCTTTTCCAGGCCATAGCAGAGAGCTGGATGGGAAGAGGAACAGCCGGGTCTTGAACTGGCACCCATATGGGATGCCAGATCTTCAGGCTGGGCGTTAACCCGCTGCACCACAGCACTGGCCCCTTGAGATATTTATATTGCTATAAAGATTTCAAAGTTCTGTGACTCTCCTGTGTTATCTTATTTTTTGAATACCTGACTTTTTCCTTTCCATAAGACCCTACCAAACTCACTAGATTTTATAAGTTGTACCATATCTCCCTAAAAGACAATGCATTATATTTAAGTGAAATGAAAAACTCATATCTTGCTATCATTGAAAATTAAAATGAAAATTTTAACTATTATTATTTACATAGTATCTAAAGTACCTTATTATTACTAAAGAGTATATCTATAGCATATATATGCATATATTTATAAAACAACCATCTTTCCTGACTATACACTAAGGTAAAGCACATTAACATTTTCTTGCTGACACTTCAAACTAGTGATAGTGATAGTAAATTCCTGCCTTTCAGTTCTTCTCTTCAAAATCCTATGTTTTGTTTTATTTTGTTTTCTAATGTTCTCTCGTATTTCCCACTTTGACCAAGGTGTCTTTTCTGATCTCATCATTTTTGACTTTTTCTCCCTTTTAGTCATATTCCAGTTATCCCTCACTCCTACAAGTCCTTAAATTATTTCCTTATTTATTAATGTATATTACATGTTTGTTTAATGCATTCCATGTGATAATGTCCTATCTTGGTTTCTTAATCTCAGGTTCTTTATAATATATTTCTTATTTCATAATCATTTCCTTTGAATTCTGTTTACTTTCTTTTTAATTTTCCTATTATTTGGATTGAAGGAAATTCCTAAGGCTGTCACCCATAACCAATTTTATTCTCCTGTTTTATCTATGGATGCACTCAAGTTTAGCCATTGTGTTTATGGTGCTGATTTTCATAACACTATTTGTCCATTCAATCATGCTTGGATTATTGTATCTACTTCAGAGCCCTGCATTTAAAGAAAAACATTAACAAACTCAAATGCGTCTGGAAAGGATGATTAAATTGATTGAATGCTTCTAAACCACATCCCATAAGGAATGGCTGAAGGAATTGTGTATATTTATTGTTTATCCTGGAGTAAAAAAGATTGAGGGTAGACAGGATAATTGTTTTCAATAATTGGAAAATCTGTCCTGTAAAGGAAGGAACAGATTTATTATGAGTGTTCGAGTTAGCTCTACCAGACCAAACTTGTGCATGTTAGGAAGAGATAGGTTGAAATTTTCCCTAATGAAGATCAGGGATAAAATTTTACTTTATCTGGGGTTGTCTACAGTGTCCAGCATAGGGTCTTAGTTATATTTGGGCCAAACGGATGTTTATTGATTGAACTGAACTGGCAAGAATTGAAAGAATAATCCTCTCTCACACTACAAATAGAATTGCTTTTTGAAGTAAAAAAGTCAATCTTTCAACAAATACTATTGATCACCTATAATGCAGCCACCCCTCCACTAGGCATCTGAAATATAAAGGTATTAACATCCCAACATTATAAAAGTCAAGGCATTCTTCTAAATATTTCCATTGATTATTTCATAGCAAATTCATGTGCTAGGTTATTTTATTATCCTCAATTGAGACAAGAGGAACCTGAGGCCTCAATGTTACTTAATGAGCTGTTTCACAAAGCTAACGAAAGATCACAACGTGACTTGAAGCCAAGCAATCAGGCTCCAACATCCCTTGTGACTATGTCAGTAAACTTCCTCCAGCAAAGAAAGGCAAGGCGATGCACACAGGGTTTGGGGAATTGGAATGCAATCTATTTCATCCCCTCTCTTGGGATTTTCTGGCCAATGACAGTCCTGTCTCAGCCCAAATACTTGTGCTCCTCCTTAGCCCCGGTCTGATCTGCACACTGCCTCCAAGTGTGCTCCCCCAAATGCAAGGCCAACTATTCCATTCCCTTCAGACCTTTCTTTAATTCCCCTTTGTCCACAGGACAAATTTAATCAGCAAGTTCTAGGTGCTAAGGCCCCCTGCCATCTGTCTCCACCTGCACCTCTCACTTCCTCTCTCACTGAACCCTAAATCAGATTATGGTGTTAAATGCATTTGTTGGAAGAATTTCTTGCCTGAGGGAGGAAACAGGGTTGTTGTGAAAATTAAATTTAACAATGAATAAAAATTCTTAGAAGAGTACCTAGAATATAATAGCTTCTCAAAAATGTTAGCATTTTTTTCCATTTCTGATTATCCTGCAAAAATTGCTGTACCCAAAATATAACATGTTTCTTAGTTCATTGTATAAACTTATAACTACTCCATGAGAGTCAATATTAAAGGAACTGCCTAATTAACTAGATCAGAAGCAACATGGGTGCAGGCAGGTTCCAGTCAGGGATTTTCCTGTTTCTCTGTAGATTGCTCAGTTTTTGTGTCCCTCCCCACAAGCTAGTTTTTAGGCTTGCTTCACTCAAGACAGCCACAGGGCATCAGGCACCAGCAGGATGCAGGAGGTCTCTAGTTCACATCTAATTGATACAGAAAATACCACTTCCCCAAACTACCAAGCTGAAGCTCTGAGCTTCTTTATGAGATACAATCCTTGGGGCCTCGGAAACCTTGGTTCATTTGATATACTGGATTGAGTGATGATCCCAAAAAAGATATGCCCATAATCTAACCCCCAGAACTTATGACTTTATTTGGAAAAAGGGTCTTTTGCTGTGTAATTAAGCTAAGAATCTGGAGATGAGATCATCCTGGGTTATCTGGTTTGCCCTGGCTATAGTGACAATTATCTTTATTTATTTGGGTTTTTTTTTAGCTTTTATTTAATAAATATAAATTTCCAAAGTACAGCTTTTGGATTACAATGGCTTTTTTTCCCCCCATATAACTTCCTTCTTACCTGCAACCCTCCCATCTCCCGCTCCTTCTCCCATCCCATTCATATCAAGATTCATTTTCAATTATCTTTATATACAGAAGATCAATTTAGTATATATTAAGTAAAGATTTCAACAGTTTGCACCCACACCGAAACACAAAGTGTAAAGTACTGTTTGAGTACTAGTTATAGCATTAATTCACATTGGACAACACATTAAGGACAGATATCCTACATCATGAGTAAGTGCACAGTGACTCCTGTTGTTGATTTAACAATTGACACTCTTGTTTATGGCATCAGTAATCACCCTAGGCTCTTGCCAAGAGTTGCCAAGGCTATGGAAGCCTTTTGATTTTGCCAACTCCGATCTTATTTAGATAAGGTCATAGTCAAAGTGGAAGTTCTCTCCTCCCTTCAGAGAAAGGTACCTCCTTCTTTGATGGCCCATTCTTACTGCTGGGATCTCACTCACAGAGATCTTTCATTTAGTATTTTGGTTTTTTGCCAGAGTGTCTTGGCTTTATTTTTTTAAGATTTATTTTATTTATGTGAAAGAGATAGAGAGAGAGGTAGAGCCAGAGAGAGAAGTCTTCCATTTGCTGGTTCACTCTTGAAATGACCAAAATGTCCAGAGCTGAGCTGATCCAAAGCCAGGAGCCAGGAACTTCTAATGGGTCTACCATGTGGGTGCAGGGGTCCAAGAACTTGGACCATCTTCTACTGCTTTTCCAGGCCACAGTAGAGAGCTGTATTGGAAGTGAAACAGCTGGGACTCCAATTGGTGACCCTATGGCACTTCGGCACTGCAAGCTGAGGCTTTAACCTGCTGCACCGCAGTGCTGGCCCCATGACAAGTATCTTTAAAAGAGAGAGCAAGTGGGCCTGGCACTGTGGCTTAGTGGGATAAGCCTCTGCCTGTGGTGCCAGAATCCTATATGGGTTCTGGTTTGTATCCTGGCTGCTCTTCTTCTGATCCAGCTCTCTGCTATGGCCTGGGAAAGCAGCAGAAGATGGCCCAAGTGCTTGGGCCCCTGCTCCCATGTGAAAGATCCTGGCTCTTGGTTTTGGATCAGCCCATTTCCAGCTGTTGCATCCATTTGGGGAGTGAACCAGTGGATGGAAGACCTTTCTCTCTTTCTCTCCCTCTCTCTGTCTGTACTATCTCTCAATAAATTATAAAAAAAAATCTTTAAAGAAAGAATCCTTAAAAAAAGACAGTAAGATTATCCAAAACTCAAAAACTAACAATTGTGGGCAAGAGAGAAAAAGGTACCCTAATATACTGTTGAGGGGAATGTAACCATTATGAAAGACAATATGGAGATTCTGCAAAAATCTGAAAATTGATCTACCATAATACCCAGCTATCTGACTCCTGGGAATTTACCCAAAGGAAGTGAAATCAGCATATGAAAGAGTTATCTGTACCTTCATGTTTTAGGCAGCTCAATTCACAATAGCTAAGATATGGAATCAACTTAAGTGTCCATCAACTGATGACTGGATAAGGAAAATGTGGTACATATACATGATGGAGTACTACTCAGCCATAAAAAAGAATGAAATCTTGTCTTTCACAACAAAATGCATGTGACTGGCAGCCATTATGCTTAGCGAAATAACTCAGTCCCCAAATTACAAACATATGTTTTCTTTGATTTATGGTAGCTAATAGGTAGAGTATAAAATAATGTAATGGGCATGAGTGAAATTGTCACCTTGAGTTTGAACTACTGTTTGGAGTCCTTGTCTATACTCCTATTGAACAGAGTGCTTTCTACATTCTACTTGTTGAATTCTTTATTTAGTGGAGGATTAAGCCTGTGTCTCTAAGGTATAGTCAAAGTATGTTATTGTTAAAAAAAATTAAAAAGGAAGGACATAGGAGAGAGGGAGTGTGGGAAGTATCATTTTGGGCTTAAAATTGTATATATGAAATACATGAAATCTGTTCTCTTTATATATAAATACTTACATACATAAAAGACAGCAGGGATGGCACACATAGAGGAACAGGCTCTATGAAGCTGGAGGCAGAGAATTTATAGAATAACATACCTGGAGCTCCTGGAACCCCCAAGATGCCTCTGGCCTCCCAGGGAAACATGGCTCTCATTGCACCTTGGTTCCAGACTTCTGGCTTCCAGAATTTAGAGACAATAGATGTCTATTGTTTAAGTCACCAGACTTGGTAATTTGTTATGGCAGTCACAGAAAACTCATGTTAAATGGCCATTCCTGAGCAAGTTATTTTGACAGGAGTATAGGCTTACACTGTCAGGTCATACTATACCAGGCTCATTTCTGGAGCTGGAAGTAGGAACAGTCCACATCATAGAATTTCCACACAGGGGAGCAGAATGGATATTAGGGGGCAACACAGCAGCCATGTCTGTATCCTTTAATTCCGCTTCCTACTTGTAAGCTATCCTTTTTTACTGATTGTACCACAATGGAACACAATCATGGGCTATGAAATATTTTTTGTTTTTAATTTTATTTAAGGTATACAAACTTCACGCATTTCATATATACAAATTTTGGAACATAGTGATTCTTCCCACTTTACCCTATCTCCTGCCCGCACTCCCACTGTTTTTCTTCCTCTCTCTCTTTGAACTATTTCAGCATGTGTTGGGTTACATAATTAACTATAACAATAACTAAAACTTGGTCATTTCATTTGACTAACTCTTTTATTATGTCTAATATTCTTAGCTCATCTGACATATCCCTCACTGGTAAACAACTCCTTCATTTCATCATAGGTGCAACTACCCAAATAGACATTATCTTGTACCACCATAGCCAAATTCCAGTACCTTGAAAACCTTTTTCAGGGCTCTCTCTATGCCCCTTTAATAAAACAGAATTTCAGGGCTATCCATGTATTTTACGTGTTACATTATGCCACCCAGAGGACTCCTAACCAGTATATAAATATATGCTACATATTTTTGTGGTACACATAAACAAATGTAAAATGCAACAAAATTGTTTCACTCACAATTAACATTTTAAATATTTATAACTTTGAAATTTCTAAAATGGGAAAAAGCAAAATTCAGAGAAAGGATGAACACTTTAGTGGTGATTCTGCCCATCTAATAAAAGCAAGTGTTTGCAAGGGTCTTTGGTTTAAATTTTATGCAATCTTTAAAGATGGGTTATTGTTAAATACAAAGAAGAGCTCCGTGTTGAATACTAGAATGTCAAATATGGATTTAAAACTTTTTTGCACAAAGACTATAAGGGAAGATCTCTGTATAAAATGTTTAATTATAATTAAATCTTAACTGCAACAGCTAAAAGAAGAAGGTACTTGTTAAATAAATTACAAAGAAAATTGAAGCAGCAAGATGTATAAGGAAGCAACTACAAATTAGTGTCTACTAAAGGAATATGTTTCTGTTCTTTGTAAAGACAAAGCACATTGAACAGTGGAGCTATTATAGGAATAGATTATGGGTCACTAAACCAGAGAAGCCATTTGAAAAAATCTGCATTATTCCAACCAATCATAGCAATTTCACCAACTATCTTCTTTCAAAACTATACGTTGTAACAATATCGTACTATATATTTTCTTTGCTGCTTTAATAAATTATCATAAATTCAGTGACTTAGAACAACACAAGTGTATTATCTTGAAGTTCTGTAGTCAGAAGTATGAAATGGGCTAAAATCAAGATGTCAGCAGGGCTGGCTGCATTTCTCTCCATGGTTCTAGGTGGGATTTATGGCATTGCTCGTAGTTTCTAGGAGTCACCTGGGTTACTTAGTTTCCAGAATCTCCAAAGCTAACACTGGCGCATGGAGTATTTTTCAGATCATGGAACTCTAATCTTCTCTGCTGCTTCCCTCTTCCAAGAGGACCGTGGAAGGTTACCTTCCTCCTCTCCCATAATCCAGAATAATCTTCCTATGTTAAATAAACTGATTAGCAGGTTTCATCTCATTTGCAACCTTAATTTCCCATTGTCATGTAAGGTTATTCATAGGCTTCAATGATTAAGAGATGAGTTTTTTGTGGTGGGCCACCCTTTTTTGGGTGAGTGGGGTGAGGGCATGGATTATTTGCCTTGCCACTTATACCATTGTTGAGTCCCTAGTCTTGACCATTGTACTTTGCTAATATAAGATGTTATCAGCAGAGGAGGCTAGGTACAGAGTGCACAGGGACTCAAGAATTTTTACAAGTTTCTTTCTGTGTTATTCTAAAAGAATCTCAAAATAACAGTTTAGACAAGTGTTGGTGTGCATGGGACTCCTTCAACCCACATGGGAGTACCTGGGTTGAAGACCCAGCACCACTCCCAACTCCAGCTTCTTAACATGTACCCTGAGAGGCAGTGCTTATGGATCAAGTAGTTGGGTCCCTGCCAGCCACATGGGATACATGGATGGTGCTCTCAGCTCCCAGCTTTGCCCTGGCTCATTACAACTGTTGTTATAGGTATTTGGGAAGTGAACAAATAGATGGGAGATCTCTGTCTCTGTCCACCTCTTTTTCCATGTGTTTCTCTTTCTCTTCCTTTCAAATAAATGTAATTTTTGATGGTTTTAAAATAAAAATGCTTAGAGAATACTTTTTGAGGGTAGGAGTGGATGAAAATATAGAAGTTCACAGATCCTCAGGAACTCCACAGTAATAAAATTGATTAAAACAGGTATATTTAACTTCTAAAACAGTAGACAAGTAGATAATAAAGTCACATCCTCATTCAATTTGTAATAATTCAGTTAAGGCTTATGTTGTTAATATATTTTTTGATGACCTAAGTAAAATGACTATCATCTCAACTTCTTTCCCTTTAAATAAAATACTGTCCTGGGGCTGGTGCTGTGGCTCACTTGGTTAATCCTCCACCTGCAGCGCAGGCATCCCATGTGGATGCCGGTTCTGGTTCCGGCAGCTCCTCTTCCGATACAGCTCTCTGCTGTGGCCTGGCAAGGCAGTGGAGGATGGCTCAAGTGCTTGGGCCCCTGTACCCGCATGGAAGACCCAGAGGAAGCTCCTAGCTCCTGGCTTCAGATCGGTTCAGCTCCGGCCGTTGTGGCCATTTGGGGAGTAAACCAATGGAAGCAAGACCTTTCTTTCTGTCTCGCCCTCCCACTGTCTGTAGCTCTCTCAGATAAATAATAAAATATTTGAAAATGAAAAATAAATATATAAATAAAATACTGTCATTGGGACATGCATTGTGACACAGGGGGCTACAGACTCCCTCTGCGGCGCTGGGATCCCCATGTTGAGGTTGATTTGTTCTGAGAGGTGGAGAGTGGTGGGGGCAAGAGGAGCAGAGTCACCACACAGACCCCGGGAGTCGGGTGAAAGCAGGCTAGAGGCAAGCAGCCCACAGACTCATTTATTTCAGTCGGTACAGCAGCTTAAATAGCCAAGGCAGCCAATCCAGTCAAGGGGTGGTTTATGCCCTAACCAATCACAGCCTGTTGCCAGGAAGTATCTGAAGCCATCCAATCACAGCCTGTTGCCAGGCAGGCTCCGTTGCCAGGTGGGTTTCAAAGCCATTCCTGAATAACTGACGCTTGCATGCCAACAGCCATCTTGGCATGGCCTTCTCATTCCACCACATCCCCTTCTTCTCCTCTTCCAACCCAGCTCTCTGCTATGTCCTGGGAAAGGGGTAGAAGATGGCTCAAGTGGATTGGGCCCCTGCACCCACAGGGGAGACCTGGAGGGAGCTCCTGGCTCTTGGCTTTGGAACAGCCCAGCTCCAGCTGTTGCTGCCATTTGGGGAGTGAACCAGTGGTTAGAAGACCTTTCTCTCTGTCTCTCCCTCTCTCTGTAACTCTACCTCTCAAATAAATGAACAACAACAAAAAAAAACTTAAAAAAAAAGTAAATGAAATTCTGTCCATAATTGACCAAATATCATTAGACTAGATATCAATTTAACCTCATATAGTTGAGAGAAATAATGTATTTTTATAAATGTTTATGTGTCTACCATACCTATCAGAGAAAAATCTAAACTCTTTAAACCAAATTACTGGTTCATAGTAGATTTCATATTGTTTTCCAACTTTTCCAAAAGACCATTCCATTCTGTTTTACTTAATATTTTCTAAAGCTTTCAGGGACATAGGAAGATTTTATTGTCCTGTTTTTATACATAAGTAAATTAGAGCTGGGAAGTTACACAATGGGTTCTGGTCAAGAGACAGGGAACACATATATCAGTGCTCTCATGTGCTCCCCAAACAAGCCAGTGACAGATGAAATCTACAAAAAGAAAGCCAAAAACCCAAAGCCACACCCAAAATCAGAAACAGAAGCAAACAACAAAAAAATGTGTAATGGATGAAATTTTAAGTGTGTTAGGATCCACGTATTCCTGGGGACTTAATCAGAAGCCAAGCTGACTGGAAATAGGGATAAGGACTAGAGTGGCAATGTAGCCCAAGACAAGAAAAACGACTGATGGAACAAATGGTGATATCCACCCGGAGCTGTAGCCTGTAGAATGTGCTAGATTCAGGGAAGCAGATAGACACAGACACAGATTATGCACTGGAAAACCAGACCATCTCCAGATGGACTTTTTGTTCTGCAATGCTACCAACATTCTTGCAGGTCAACATCACCAAGTGAAACTGAACCCTAGGAGGAAGGGATGGGAGGGACAGTTGAAGGAGTAAAGGGGTAAAGAAAGGAAAGAAAAAGTCACAGACAGGGAGTTTTTTTGTTGTTGTTGTTATGTTTATGCAAACAAAGACTTGCTATCTGAAAACCAGAGAATTGTAAATCAACTGGAAAAATGAGGAAGAGATAAGGGTACTTCAAATTCATAGGAAAATGAAATATTAAAATACTATACATTTTCCATGTACTGTTTGAAGTACCCATGTATAAACAGGAACTTCATAGAAGTGAAGCCAGAATAGAAAAAAAAAAAAACAAATCAAAACAAAAAATAATAAAAATAAAACATGGAACTCCAAATTTTCAATTCCTGCACAACTTCTGATCCTCATTACACTTTGTCCTACTCCCTGAGCAGCTGTGTGTTGAGCAATGGACGGGCGATGAGGTACCTGAGACCACCAGGTACTTGGCCTGTCTTGAAGCTTGTCTAGGAACGGTATCAACAGGGTTCTTGCCACAGGAGTTTACAGAGGAAGGCATCACTGGGTGAAGGAGTTGAGGATGAGGCCCTGGCTGGGAGGGATTGATGGAGCTGCATTTTACAGGAGCCTGAGAAGCATGGAGGCAAGAATGATTCTTGTACTTCAGAGACACAGGCAAAAACTTGTGGATGATGACACAGAATAGAAACCTTGGAAGTGGCAGGCAGTAATTTCATGGATCTCATCGTTGTCTCTATTTGCTCGGAGAATATAAAAGAGGTGGAAGGTAGTGCAGCTGCAGTGGACGAGCAGAAAAAGACCTGACTGTTGAGGTCCAGTTGAAGGCCGGGACTGGAGACAAGCAGTCCTACAGCATTTGGTACAGACTAATCTTCCCCCAAATCCCACCACTCCCTCCTGAAAATCATAAACTTCCACCAAATATTACAATTTCCTTTTATGTAAATTATCTCTGACAAGTAATTCATCATAAAACTTAGGTACCAAAATACTTCTGTATGTAGCCATGATCATTTAAATAATAAATTTTGAAGTATGGGAAAGAGACAATGGTGTGAAATAATTATGTTTCTTTACATAACTGTTTTATTTGCTGAAAATATTTATTAGAAAGGGCAGAGAAAGAGAGAGAGAGAATCTTCTATCTTTGTTTCACTCCCCAAATGGCTGCAATAACCAGGCCCAGGCCAGCCAGACGCCAGGACGTGGGGACTCCATTTGGGTGGCAGGAACTCAAGTACTTGAGCCATCATCTGCTGCTTCCCAGATGTATTAACAAGGAGCTGGATCAGACGCAGAATAGCTAGGACTCCAGTGGGCATGCCCATATGGGATGTGGGAGCCTCAAGCAGCTGCTTAATCCACTGTGCCCCAACACTTGCCCCTCATGATTGCTAAGAGGTAAATCACAAGGATATGGAAATAAAAATAAATGCATGTTTTTCACAGAGAAATGTAGACTCTGTTTTATTATTTTAAGTCTGTATTTCTCTATTTGGAGATTAGAACTATGGATTTACGAATATAACCACAACATTCATTCACCAATTATTTGTACTTTATTGTTGGCTCTCCAAATTCAGTTCCATGCAACATGTTGTTAAATGCCTGTAGATTCAAGGACTTGTGGTTATGACTGGGGAGAGAAGGGAATTGGGTGAAATACTGGAAGCCTTCGCCAATAGAAATGTTGTTTAATGCTTGTAACACAAGACAGGATTATTCCAAGTAATTTCAATCTCTGGTAGTCTGTCCTTTTTCTGCAAGCTTGGATGTAGATATTTGATCGCGAAATAGGTGTGTTTTCCCATCAGAACTGACCTTCAGGTTTGCTTAAAGCAATAATGTGGCTTCTACAGCCTCACCTTCGTTTAATGAGAGCCATTTCCCAATGCCATCTTTGGGTTAATAGGCTAAGATGGGAGAAAGTCAAACATATCTTTCCGTTTTACACCAGATTGCCTTCTGCCTGTGGCTTTAATCACTCAATCCTCCTCACATCTGCCATAAGAACAATTATGGCTTTTTTATGCCTTATCACCCAGGGGGCTGTGCCAGGGTACAGCAGCACCTCCCAGGAAAGGAAGGGCAAAATCTTCATCTTGTTTCCAGCATCGTAGGTTATAATTTCCCTCTGCAAACCTGTAAGGAGTACTTTTTTTTTTTTTTTGCTTCTCAGACCCACCATTTCCTTAGGTCTGTGGCTCTGGTCTGATTTATGCGTTTTTTTCTATCCTTTCTCCTAGAGATGTTTTAATTACGTAGACAAATTGTAAAATCTTTTGTCTTGTAAACTATTTCTCTGATAGTATAGATTTTGTTTAACTGTTTTTTTGTTTTTTGTTTTTTTTTTTTTTTCTTCCTAGCCAAGTCTTACAAACCCAGGAATGATGTCTGACTGCCGTTCAACAGTGGTATCAAGGGAAGAAAAGGCTGGCTTCTTGGCTGCCTTTGGGGATTCAGTCCTGGAGCAGCTCAGACTGCAACTCCCCGTTAGGAGCTTTTTTGTTGCATTTGTCTAGGAAGCTCATAAGATTTTACTCTTGATTCAATTTAACAGCAAATTATCACCCATCAAATAAACTGTATGGTAATACTTGTTGCTCTACTTGTTTTAAAACTTTATTACTAAAATTTCTAAAAGAAGTTTGGAATCCTTAAAAGCATGAGTGATAAAGTTAACAGGTTTTACCTTTCCTCAGAGGACTCCATGATATGAGTTTGAGAAAGTGTCCCAAGTGATGCTGATAATACAGCTCTCACGCTGACTTTTTCTAGGGAATGTTTACGACATAAAAATAAGTACTTATTGCGTGATTTTTTGTTATTTTACATAAAAATTTAACTATTTTTTGAATACATTCACTTCTAATTCTGACCTCTTACACTAACTGTTTTCACGCAGTGTTGGTGTGAAAACTGGTTTTGTCAAGAATGACTAAACATGATCCTTTAAACAGCCTAGCAATTTCCTGTGGTGGTTTTTAACTTTTAATTGGCACTCTACTAACCACTTAAATCAATATTTTTCCTCAAAGGCTCCCCTCAAAAATTTTGAGGCACATTTGGAATAAAAGAGAATTTTTAGACATAGTAATATACATGAAGTCTTCACACTGTAGAACCACTTTTTCAGCTCAAGCAAAGAGGAGGTGTAGATTGTGGTCAAAGAACAGAGCCAAGGACTATGGCCAGGAAGGTACACAATTTGTGATCTTGGTCCCATTAGCAGAGCTGTTAACCAGGTGACCTATCACAACAGGTTACTGCAGGTCCAGGGAGCAGTGATTCTTCATTGGGGTTTCAGCAATGGTACACGAACATGTTGGCACTTTATACAATCTTTTGAGCATATTTATATTTTTCTAAGGAGAGGGTTTGCATTTTCATGATTCTCAAAAGCAGGTATGGCAAAAAGGTTAAGATTACACTAAAGGAGATCATTCTAAAAGAAAGTGATTTTAGTGTTTATTTTTTAAATGAAACACTGTAATTACTGGGATAGATTTCTGTAATCTGATGTAGATTTCATGAATACCATGTTATTGTGGGAGGAGTCCCTGAGCTCTGACCTTTCATATTTATCCTCTGTTGGAGAAATCTGTTACTTCTACATGAGACAGAAAGGTTAAATTAAAACATCCATTTTTGTAGTTTATACGCAGTTAGCCTTCCTTATCCAGGATTCCACTTCTGCAAATTTAACCAACTCTGAATAGGAAATACTGGGATACTAAGAGTGGGGGGTGTGCTGGGGAAAGGGAAGTGGGAATAGAGGAAATGCAGAATGTTATAATTATTTCCATAGCACTGACATTACATTGGGTATTATAAATAAACTAGAAATGATTTAAACTATTTGAGAGGATTTTATAGTTTAGGTGCAAATACTATGGTATTTTATACACAGTAGTTGAACATCCTGAGTTTGGCATCCTGTGGGAGGGGGTGTCCTGGAACCAGTCCCACGAGGATACCAAGGGATGAGTGTTTTTTTAAAGAAATGGTAAACCTGTTTTTCAAAACTCATACTTCAGCAATCCATTCTGTTAGTCTTCTCTCTTGGAATCATTTTAAGGTAACCCAAACCTCACTTCACTCTTTACAATATAGCAGGGTTTAAATCTGACCAAAATTCACATAATTAAATGTTAAGGTGTTACATATTAACTGTAGGATAATCCATTCCTCAGATAAGATAAAAGTTTGCAAGGGAAAAGTGCCATTCTAGAGACATCTACTGCAGTCTTCTGTCTTAAAACATCACAGTGCATGTAAATCTTCAGTGTTGCTGATACACTGCAAATTTATAGCATATTCAGGAATAACTGTCATCAGACAGACAATATGGATTTTTTTAATTCTAGGTTAATTTATGGAATGAGAAGAAGAGAAAAGATTGAAGCTTTATGGAAAAACAAGTTGTGTGATCTTCTGATTCAGAAATGAGGGGAAATGCAGCCATCTGAATGGTCATGAACCCCAAACAGGTCTTCCTCTCTGTGCTGATATTTGGAGTAGCAGGGCTACTCCTCTTCATGTATCTTCAAGTCTGGATTGAAGAACAACATACAGGTAAGAAATTGTAATTATAGTGGCTATTTTTAATTAAATAAGCTGTGATGTTTATAAAGTAACAGTATTTCCAACAATAAAAAATTAAGTCACAAACCAAAATTCCCAGCTTCTAAAAGAAGGGAGGGTTGTACAGCTCTGGTAGACATTTGCTTGGCAGCTTAGCACTTGGAACTTTTGTTGTCTCAGTAGAGAGCAACAAGGCCAGATTGGCCCAACAAGGACTGCTTGTAGAGAATTTGTCTACAAATGAGTAGTGTTTATCTTACTTCTGTTCAGTAAGCATCAGAACAAGGTTAAAAAGAGCTAAATATGCAGAAAACTATTTAATTCCTCTTATTTTTTGGCTGGTATTCAGTGTGGAAATTCCCAATGCCTTCCCTATAAAGCAAGGATTAAATGTTTTTTGTAAAGGGCTAGATGGTAAATATTTTAGGCTTTGCAATCCATACATTCACTTTCACAACTACTAATCAACTCTGTCAGTTATAGACAAAAATCAGCCATAGAAATATGTAAATGAGTTGAACAAACTTTGTTTCAATAAAAATTTGTTTATAAAAGCAACGGTGGGGCCAATGCTGTGGCATAGCTGGTAAAGCCACTGCCTGCAACGCTGGCATCCCATATGGGCGCCAGTTCAAGCCCCGGATGCTCCACTTCTGATCCAGCTCCCTGCTATGGCCTGGGAAAGCAGTCGAAGATGGCCCAAGTCCTTGGGCCTCTGAACCCTCCATGTGAAAGACCCGGAAGAAGCTTCTGGCTCCTGGCTTTAGATTGACACAGCTCTGGCCTTTGTGGCCAGTTGGGGAGTGAACCAGCAGATGGAAGACCTCTCTCTCTCTCTCTCTTTCTGCCTCTCCTTCTCTCTATGTGTAACTCTGACTTTCAAATAAATAAATCTTAAAAAAAAAAAAAAAAAAAGAACAAATGGTGAGCTGGAGTTGGTCCACAGGCAGGCAAGAGTTTACTGATTTCTGCTATATTCATCTGGTATTTTCATCATTAAGTTTGTAATTCCTGCACATTAAAGGCACTCAATGATTGTTAAAATGGAGAGCTGACGCCGTGGCTCATTTGGTTAATCCTCTACCTGCAGCGCCAGCATCCCATATGAGCACCGGGTTCTAGTCCTGGTTGCTCTTCTTCCAGTCCAGCTCTCTGCTGTGGCCCAGGAGGGCAGTGGAGGATGGCCCAAGTGCTTGGGCCCCTGCACCCACATGGGAGACCAGGAGGAAGCACCTGGCTCCTGGCTTCGGATCAGCACTGCGCCGGCTGTAGCGGCCATTTGGGGAGTGAACCAATGGAAAGAAGACCTTTCTCTATGTCTCTCTCTCTCACTGTCTATAACTCTACCTGTCAAATAAAAAAAAAAAGTTTATATTTATAATGATAGTAGCATTATTTTTTTAAAGAAGATTTATTTTTTATTTCAAAGAGAGTTACAGATAGGAAGAGGCAGAGAGGTCTTTTCTCTGCTGTTTCATGCCTCAAATAGCCGCAACTGCCAGAGCTATGCCAATCCGAAGTCAGGAGCCAGGAGCTTCTTCTAGGTCTCCCATGTGGGTGCAGGGGCCCAAGGACTTGGACCATCTTCTACTGCTTTCGCAGGCCATAGCAGAGAGCTGGATCGGAAGAGGAGCAACCAAGACTGGAACTGGAGCCTACATGGGATGCCAGCACTGCAGGTGGTGGCTTTACCCTCTATGCCACAGTGCCGGCCCTGATGGTAGCATTATTAAACCAAATGACTAGAACATCACAGAAATTTATTCATACAGCTATCATCAAATACAGATTTTTACTGTTGACAGATTATGGCTTATGATTTTTAAGGAACATAAAGTAAAAAAAAAGGAAAAATTCTTTTTTTCAATATTTATTTATCTGAGAGGCAGGCATACAAATAGAGAGAGACAGAGAGACAGAGACAGAGAGAGAAAGAGAGAGAGATTCCATCTGCTGGTTCACTTCCCAAATGTTGCAATTGCCAGGGTTGTGTCAGGGTCAAAACTGATAATAATCCAAGTCTCCCACGGTGGCACAACCATTCAGTTATGTGGTCATCACCACTTCCTCCCAGGATCTGTTTTAGCAGTAAGCAGGAGTAATGAACAAGAGCCAGAGATCAAGCACAGGTACTCTGAAACAGGTTATATGTATCTAACCAGTGTGCCAACCACTAGGCTAAATGTCAAACCCTGAGAAGAACAATTTCTTTTTTTTTTAATTTTTAAAAATTTATTTGAAAGAATCACAGAGAGGGAGGGACAAAGAGAGACATCTTCTATCTGCTGGCTCACTTCCCATATAGCTCAATGGCTGGGGTTGGGCCAGGCCAAAGCCAGGAGCAAGGAGCTTCTTGTGGGTCTCCCGTGTAGATGCAGGGCCCAAGTACATGGGCCATATTCCATTTCTTTCCCAGACACATTGAGTTGCATAGGAAGAAGAGCAGCCAGGACTCGAACTGGCACCCATATGGATGCCGGTGTCACAGGTGGCAGCTTTGCCTGCTATGCCACAACAACAAACCTAAGAGAAGAACAATTTCTTAATTGTCTCAAATTGTGGACTACTTAAACTATTCTAGATATAAAATATTTAAGAATCTGTTCTGAATGGATGCCTTGTTCTAGTCCTGGTTGGGGTGCCAGATTCTGTCCCAGTGGCTCCTCTTCCAGACCAGCTCTCTGCTGTGGCCCAGGAGGGCAGTGGAGGATGGCCCAAGTGCTTGGGCCCCTGCACCCACATGGGAGACCAGGAGGAAGCACCTGGCTCCTGTCTTCGGGCCAGCGCAGCGCCGGCTGTTGCGGCCATTTGGAGAGTGAACCAACGGAAAGAAGACCTTTCTCTCTGTCTCTCTCTCTCATTGTCTATAACTCTACCTGTCAAAAAAAAAAAAAAAAAAGAATCTGTTTTGAAACACAATTCAGTACTGTCAGAAATATAATTTTAATAGTTGTTTCCATTTTTAAGTCCTTTCTTTGGTTTATTATGATAGACACTTCAGATTTATATAATTTAATTTATATAGTAACCCTTCTGAAGAGAGATTGTATTCAATTATTTTCTGAAGAACGTATAATATGTTGTCAAAACATTCTTAACTCCCATTACATTTACATTAACTACAATATTATGCTAAATGTTCTATGTCACTGAAATAATCTCTCAAACTAACATCATATTTTGTGAAACTATACCGGTCATAAAATATATAGACTAATTTCTCCTTGACACAAGGTTCCTGACATGGATTTTGCCTCATAGGAAGCCTTCAGTAAGTTCATATTGAATATATGAATAAAAGAAGAATTACAAGTTTGAAAGCACATTGCAGAAATAGATCCTGTCACATAGGAAGTCTTCAATATGTTTAGTGGTTGATTGATTGACTAAAAGAATGAATGGGTTGCAAACTACAAATGAGTAGCGTTCATCTTCCTTTGGTCAACCAAGCATCAGATACAAGACTGGAAGAAACTAAATGTATAGAAAACTTTAATTCCTGTTAAGTTTTGTGTTGATACTCAAAATTGATATAGAAATTATTAATGCTATTACTATAAAGCATGGTTGGCAAATCTTGTCACATAGAAAACTTTCAGTAGTTGCATGTTCAGTGAATGATTAACATAATGAATGGATTGAAAAGTCACTGCAGATAATAGAATGGAATGTAGCAAAAGAGGAAAGATCAAAAATGTTACATTATCAGGTTTTCTAGTACTGCTATTTCACAAGCAAAATATTATGGAACTCTAATCCATATAGGAAAATACATTCATACATACAGACTGTTGCAAAGGAGAAATATGGTTTAGTCTATCAGTAAGAAGCTACCTAATGCCCAAGAAAACCATCAAGTTATGAAACAATGCACTATATAGAAAATGCATTTTGCAAATTATTTCCACAGGCATCAATAGCTGCCATTTATTGAGAGCTTAATAACCACCAAATGTTCATATGTATTTTCTCTAATCCCAATATCTTACTAAAATGAAGATATTTTAAGTTTACGGATGAGAATGCTAAGACTCAAGGGGGATACGGGACTTATCCATAGCCTCACAAGCATAGCAGTTGGTGCAGAGGAAAATCCCAAGTCAACACAAGTTATGTTGCTGCAGGGTGCTTGTCTCTACTCTTGTGTCTTGTCTCTGTGATTGGGAAAGGTGACTACTAGAGAAGTACATATGAAGCAATGGATGAAATTTAAGTGGCATGTTCATAGGTACAAAGCTAAGAATTTTTGAAGTATGACCAATATACAGCTTTTGCTGTTCACCTATGAACCCTAAAAGGATCTTGTAGCCAAAATAGTAGACAAGATAGATATACAATAAATGTGATAGCATTCGTAGTGATATTTTAAAACCATTGAAACTGATAAATTAAGCAACACATAAGTTCATAGGTATATAGTCTCTTCAGCACATTGAAATCTTAATTTGGGTTAACCATTTTCCCAAGTCTAGGAAAATTATTTTTCTCTGTTAATATTGGCTGGCAAAACATTTAGCATTTATTCTCTTGAAAGTTATTTGTAATTTGCTAAAAGTGATTTATTTATTTTAAATAAAGAATATACTTTACAAACTATTCATGACAGTAAGCATAAATCAGAATTTCTTTAGACAATTAGTTCACTGAGGAAAAGCTGCATCATTTTTCAACAAGACTTCCCTCTGGATTTCCACCTTCTTTTAGGTTAGTGCTTTGTGTTGTCATTGTACAGTGTCCTAGGTACACAGGTACCTTTGTATTTAAATGTATTTCAGATAATATTGGGGACATCAGACATTTTTAAAGGCAAACTTTTTTTAAAATCATAAACATCTGGATATGTGCTTTGGTGTTAGGATAAAAATTGGGAAATCTGTCTCTTGGAAACTTTAGAACTAACACAGTTTTGGAGGATGAAATGGTCTTGGTTCCTTGGATTTTCAGTAGCTAATATGTGTTTTTAAAATCTGAGTGCTTTTGTTCTCTTATAC